CAATACTTCACAACCTTTAGGGTTCTCGCTCACAAATAGTAGTAAATACTTTTAAACTAAATAAATAACCGCTGTCAAGTTCACTTACAGAAGCAGTATGCCATCTTTTCCAGAGCTGTGTTAACTAGGATATCCATTTCCGTGGCCATTATGATGGTATCCCAGCCCCCTCTTTTTAATCCAGGTGAAACAATTCATCATAAACTTAATTTTCATATCTGAAGTCTGTTCTTTCTGGTTTACCCTTCTGGCAACCAATATTAAATCCATTCATATGGACAATGCTCTTCCTGCTCCCCACTTCGCCCCTCCCCACTTCTAAATCCCCAGGATTTCCCTTTAAATTTTTCTCTCAAGTCTAGTCAGTGGATTTGCCTAAAGTAAGTACTGAGGAAATTCTCACCACAAAATATTCTTATCAGGGAATGGCCGATACGTGATGTGTTTACTCCTATTTACATTATGAAATAAAATAAGCTCTTTTTCCCATTCACATTTCACCCCTTGCCCACCATCATCACCATTGGCATACAGACATCTTAATAACATAGCTTTGTCTCTGAAAAGAAGAGATTCAATTTCGAATAATAGCCAAAGTATACGGATTTTAAATGAGGCTCACTGGGCAGAATATATATTCATCCACCGTCTATTACTGAACTTACGGTATATAATTTTTTATTCAGCATTTAAAAGCAAAGAACTGTCTACATAACATAGCAAAGTTGTATTTAGTCCTTATGTTAGGTCAAATAAGCCACCGCTTGCATGTGTCTCAGTAAAATTTTATATGTGTATTGGAGCTACATGGCTGGCAGAAAAACAGACAGTTACTTCAAAACCACAAAGAAGTGGGAGCCCAAAGAATTCCTTTCTGCAATTCAATAAACAAGAGGAAAGATGTACTGTTTGCTGGCTCAAAATAGACACTAATTTTACATCTGTCTCTGAGGCACAGCAAAAAGCCAACTAAAGAGCAGTAATAAATGTCCAAAAACGGCATCAGTATCCAAAACTCTCCCAGTAATCTTCAGAGGAATTAATTACAATTCTGTGTAACAGTCGCATTGGCAAAATGCACCCATAATTACATACAGGTACTGTAGTGTATTACAGAGAAATTTGCCATGTGATACATGTTTACATGATAATTGATGGATAAGATAAAACTATTTGCATATGAAGTGCATATGAATTATTGGCATGACTCACCATTTTATGTGGAATCATATTAAAGTTTCATTTTCTCTAAAACTGTATGTGTAATATGGGGTTACCAAAGGGTATAAAGCTGATACTTAAATTTGCTTTATAGCAAATGGGCCTGGAAAGATATGTCTGAATATGCATTACTAAAAACCTATATTTAAAAGGCTTCATAGTTTATGTATATAATAAGCATTATTTTCACTTCGCCAGATTGCATTCTATTAAATCCTTTCTCTTCTTCCTCCTAAGTAAACAATACTCTAAATTGTATCACTATGTGAATTAATTTTACAGTGATATGCAAAACAAATAATGGTTTCTCTTTATTGTCTATTGATATAACTTCCCCCCCCCCCCAGATTTTTCTAGTCTGGTGACATGCAACAGAATAGTAGCAAAATGTGACATTTTTATAATGTCTATACCTGCTGGAAAATTTTAGCATTTGCAAAAATGGTCTATCATAGCATTTAAACGTTGCTGATAATTAGCTTGACATTTGAAATACCAGAACTGTTGTTTTGAAGATGCCCTATACAGTGTTACCTAACTAACCCCTTTTCATACTTATCTGCTTTCACTACATTATTCTGTCAGTTATAGTACAAATAAGGTATCAGTTGCTAATGTATTAACATGCGAAAGAACTGATGTTAAGGGGCGATACTTCATCTTTACCAGAAGCAGAACTTTTACTGATGTACAGGAAAATTATATTTGTGGATTAGAGACAGTTAATTGCTAATCAGGAGGTCAGTAATGATTTCCTATAACTCCACTCAAGCTAAGTGTGCCGATACTTAAGTCTTTCAATGCTATCATCAAACATTTATTAAATACCCACAGTATGGAAAGTCCAGAGGATACACAGATGTGCTGGTCTCACCTCAGGAGGCTTACTCTCTATTTGGAGAAATAGAAACATAAAATTGTAGCGCTAGAAGGCTCTCGAAGTCAACCTTTGACATGTGACCAGGGTGGTAGATACAGGCACAAGGTCAAGTGATTTGTGTATGACCCTGCAGCCGGTGGGTGGCAAATCCAGAGCTAGAAGGCACATCTTTCAGCATAAAACAGCCCCACAAAAATGTACGTAATAATACAAATCCCCAGTGAAGAATGCAATCTAAACTTAAACTCCACATGGTCAAGGGAAGGGAAGGGAATCCCTGGGACTTCTGGGGATTCTCCTGCCGCAAAATGGAGATTGTCGCTTAATTTTAAATTGCTGTGATGATTGTTATTTTCAAGGATCCCCTTAATTTGAGTTATAGAAGCCTACCAATTTGATCAATTACCAGAATCTAACAATACACCCATGTTTCCCGCAATAGTTGGAAAACAATAGAAATAAAGAGGCAGTTTCCAGAATTATGAGCTTGAAGACCTGTCTTCTTGCCTCAGTCCCAACGTATAACCAGCTGTGTGGCCTTGGTCCCTACCATGCAGGCAAAGACTTGATACAAATGGGTAAAAATACTCAGGGGTCCCGTGTCG